AAAACCGGAAGTGCCACAGTTCAACATGTGCAAATAGTCGAAAATCGGCTCTAGAAGGCGTATTTTTGCATCGATTTTCTTCGGGTTTTCATTTTGACAATTTACCTGTAATTTCTGACCTGATAGCACTTGAAAAATTACGAAATTCGAAAATTCGTCGCTCCCTTTTTTCGATCAATTTTTCAATTTTTTTGCAACTTTTTTGCTTTTGCATCGATTGATCTGAAATTTAATATGCAAAGGGACATCACCAAAGCAAATAATATGTAGTTGTCAAATATTTAATTTTACTTCCGGTTTTAAACGGGGAATCAATTGAAAGTACAATCCACTTCCGGTCGAATAACTTCCGGTGTAATTGAAATAGGTCAACGAAATTTATGCTGATCGTAAGTAAATGCTAATACAAAAAAACGAAGAAAATAAAATCCAGACCGGAAGTGATACTTTGGCCGCCATATTGAAAAAACACTCTTTTGTAAAACTCAAAATGGGGCCTCAGGGTAAATGTTGATATGCTCAAATTTGATGTGAATGTATTCCGCAATCGAGTGCGCAAAAAACATTGGGAGCCGAATTTTGAATTTCGCTTTTGTTTTTTTGCAACTTCCGGTTGAAATTTTTTCATGCTTTAAACGATCACACCATGTGACCTTGACCTTTGATGACCTTGACCTTCATAGGGTCATAGGTCATTGACCTTGGCTATCATTTGATACTTTGACCTTTGACCTCCGACATGTACTTCCGGTTTTATAGCTATCCGTAAAAAGCCAAATTCGCAACTTTGGACTGCTCTAGCACGTGACCTAATTAACCTAGAGGGTTAATTTTTTCGGTTTCCTAATGTGCTTCTCATGCACTTTACATACATATATAACAATCGTTATTTTAAAGCAAAATTGAAATTCGTAATTTTTTGAAATTTGAGTTTTTTTTTACAATATTTGCGTCTTTTTGAGCTTGGTGTATGTATATCTTATGATCTATTTTATGGAGAACCTTGATATTTGGAATACAACTAGACACTTTGAATAGGAATTCACCTATGACAAAAAAACTTATGTGGGCGTGGCACATCCGGGTTGAATTACTAATTGTTTACATTTAGAGGCAGGGGCATAACTCGCATAGGATGCGTTTGTTCAAAAAGGGACTTTGCACACAATTACCTCATACTTTTGGCCAGTTTGTGTTAACAGCTCAGTTGTTTCAGCCTTATAGTTCCAAAAAAGGAACGGGTTTTAACATTTGGATTTTTTCATTTTTCGATTTTGACCTTTGTTGACGTTTGTTGACCTATATCTTTTGACCTCTATTATGTAGGAACTTGACATTTGGAACATAACGTAACATTTTGAATATTGATTAACTTATTCAAAAAAAATTGAGTTGGGCGTGGCACTTCCGGGTTTAATTACTCATTATTGACATTTTTGGCCAGGGACATAACTCGCAAAGTATACATTTGTTCAAAATGGAACTTTGCATACAATTACCTCATATTGTGAGCCACTTTGTCTTAGAATTTCGTTTGTTTCCGCTTCTTAGTTCAAAAA